GGATGTTCTTTATTTAAAGGTTGTGGCTGTTTCACGCAACTCTCTTGTATGTGATTTTTCTTCTTTATCTATTTCAGGCCCCTCCAAGGCATTCCTTGCTCACAATGTATAGAACAAAAGTCAGTTTGAAAGACCGTCAGCAACTTTATAAACTGATAATTAGTCAGCTGCTGTATGATGGATACATAAATATTGCCAATGGCTTGATAAATGAGATAAAACCACAGTCAGTCTGTGCACCATCTGAACAACTGCTGCACCTAATTAAGTTAGGTAAGCTGGAATAAAAAGCTAACATAAAAGTCCAGTTCCTAAATCCCTAGCTTAAATCCTTGTGTATTGAGGGGTTAGTGTTACTGAAAAGACATATTTTATGCAAAGGTTATGTCTGGTAATAGCATAACGCTTTGTATATTTAGACACAGCCTTTGCTCCTGTGGCTTTTTTTGAAGGGCATTTTAGCTCTTCATTTCATCCTTTAGTATGCATTAAAAGCAAAACAGATCACTGATGAGTATTGTCAAAATCTGTTCATCTGAACTTCTGCAGCACATCAGATTACCTGCTCAGGGTCCTGGGTGACTGGCAAGCTGGTAAAAAATAAGGTTCAGTAAAGTACTGAGTCCACACACTTAATAGAAAATTGACCCACACAGTTCTGTGCCAACTTGAGAAATATTTTCTATATGATTCTTCCTGAGAGTGTTGGAAGGGGAGCAAGCCCTTCCATTGGCAGTCTTTACTAGCCTTTATTTATCAGTTTCAAGAAAATAAGCTTCACAGTCAAAGTTATCACCTGTTCTGTCTCTCTGTCTTTCTGAAAGCACATCTGTGCCACAGCCTGTGGTCAAAATACCTCAGCTGCTTTTGAAACAAGCTGGCTAAGATACTGGAAGAGGTCTAGCCATAACCTCATGTCTTCTCTGTATTGCAACTGAACTGGTTCTGCTGCCTGAACTAGTTGAGTTCCAAGGGTATAAATACGTGAAGCCTTTTGTCTGTCTGCAGTTAGAATGCTACACTTGCAGTCTGTAGATGGAAGCAGCAACAGCTTCTGCATTGCATTTGATCAGTTGATGATCACAGTTGGGCACAAGGCTGAAAATTCTTGTGTCTGCCCTGTTACCACTTCCAGTGCTGAACTGTCTTTGTTCTGTAGATGAATCCTGGAAATAAGAAACAAAAAGAAAATCTGTAGAGTGGGTGTGAAGAGGAGTAAAAATTTTCCCTTGCAATGCTGGGATAAGGTTTATGGTTATGGATTAGGCTTTTTCCTTCAGTGCAATAAAACAGAAATTAAAATAATCAGTAAATGCTAAACCTGTTCTGCTACCTCAGCTTTGTTAGTGGGGGCTGCCTCTCTTAAACCTGACTTGTAGCCTTTCCAGAAGTCTGGAGCATAGATCTGGCCACAGCCTTTCTGTCCAAGGAGAAGGTTAACCTGGTTTAAGTACATCAACTTCTCTCTTTTCAGGAATGGAGAACGATGACAGTGCTGTTCAATATGCAATTGGACGGTCAGATACGGTAGCTCCAGGCACAGGAATTGACTTGGAATTTGATGCAGATGTACAGACCATGTCTCCTGAGGCTTCTGAATATGAGACTTGTTATGTCACATCTCATAAAGGACCGTGTCGTGTAGCTACGTACAGCAGAGATGGACAGTTAATAGCTACAGGATCTGCTGATGCCTCAATAAAAATTCTTGATACAGAGAGAATGTTGGCCAAAAGTGCTATGCCCATTGAGGTAAACATGACCTGAATCGTAACCACTTTGTGAATGCTTGAGGTGCTGTTTCATGCCATGTCTGTGCCTTGTGGCTGGCTCAGAGCGTTGGACTAAATATCTGTCTCACCATATTTCCCACTCCAACAGCAGCTCATAAAATACCCTTGAAGAAAAGGAAGAAGAAATAGGGCAAGTATACCCATGTAACTTCTGGCAGCCATCTAGACAATTGAGCCAGAATTTGCTTCTAATAGTTGCTGGTAATTGCTGTGTTGTATGAACACACATCATTTTTGACCCCACTGTTGGCCTCTGCAGCTTCCAGAGCTGTGTTTCAGAACTGTTTCAAACTATGCTTATTTAGCTGCTTTATTTTTTTCTCCAGTTATCATGCAACAATTCAAAAGTGGGGGGTGCTTTTGTACAGAGTGCACACTAAATTATCTGCAGTGCCCTGTGTGAGTAAAAGGTGCAGTTTTCTCACTTGGGGCAGCTCCCCTTAATTTTGGTGGCAATACAGTATTTTGGCTTAGACTGTTTATGAAGTAGGTGATAACGGTTGTTTACACCAGTTCTCTGCCACTGCAACTAATTTGTCCTTGAGCAAGTCAATGGACCTTTGTAAAGATACAAGGATCTTAACCTTATTAATAACATACATGTCATGTGTCAGATAGCTGGTGTTTGTCCACTCTGGCAAGCATCAAGCCTTTTTTCTATCAAAGGTATATTCTGCTTTCTAACGCTGACTTGTTGGATGTTCTTTGTAGGTCATGATGAATGAGACAGCACAGCAAAACATGGAAAATCACCCTGTTATTCGGACTCTGTATGATCATGTGGATGAAGTTACGTGTTTAGCTTTTCATCCAACAGAACAGATCCTAGCATCTGGTTCAAGGGACTACACACTTAAATTGTTTGATTATTCAAAGCCTTCTGCCAAAAGAGCCTTCAAATATATACAGGTTAGATACAATACCAGTTCAGAACAACCCAAGCTTGAATGTCTTAGTCCTTGAGGTATCAGTGAGCTGTATTGTGTCTGAGTTTACAAGTGGTTAGATATGCAGGAGTATACAGTTACAGATTTGCAGACATTGTGGTAATTACATGTTAAGAGTTTGTGCATAAGAGATGCCTATAGTTTGCAGAGCCTATCTGCTTTTCATTATCCTAAACCAAATCTAAGATGGGTAGCTTTGTAGTCAATTATACTCTCTTTGTTTTGGAGCAGAGTTTGGGATTATATGGTGGTGGGTTTTGGGGTGTGTGACTGGCTGACAAAGCCTCCTGTCACTTCTCTGCAATATCCCAAAAATGCGCAAGGTGCTCTTGGACAAAACCTGTGATACATTTAAAGGCAGCCTGTTATTTCAATCCCATAGAAAGCATTTTCCATTTTGCAAAAACAGAACACGTGCTGATAATTACACTTTTAGCATTGTAATGCCACCAGAATTGACACTCCCATTTCAGATCTTGATCTTTCTTACACCAATTATGTATTTTTGCTCAAACAGGAAGCAGAGATGTTGCGCTCAATTTCTTTTCATCCTTCTGGAGATTTCATACTTGTTGGCACCCAGCACCCTACGTTACGACTCTATGATATCAATACTTTCCAGTGTTTTGTGTCTTGCAACCCTCAAGACCAGCACACTGATGCCATCTGCTCAGTCAATTACAATGCCAGTGCAAACATGTATGTGACAGGAAGTAAGGATGGCTGCATCAAACTGTGGGATGGAGTTTCAAATCGCTGCATCACTACTTTTGAGAAAGCACATGATGGAGCTGAAGTCTGTTCTGCTATTTTCTCCAAAAATTCAAAGTATATCTTGTCAAGTGGAAAAGACTCTGTAGCTAAACTATGGGAGATATCCACTGGTCGAACACTGGTGAAATACACAGGTATGTGGCAGGTGACCTTCTAAGTACTTTATTTTCCATGTGCTGACCCACAGCAGGGGTGGTAACATTGTCAGAAGAGCAGTAGTTCTTAAGGACAATGAGAGAGTGCTACTTTAAGGAGACATTGCTCCAAATCTTTGAAAACACTTAATATAGACTAATTACAGAAGAGAAGCTGTGATTCTTGTGTGTCAGTGAAAATGTATTTAGTCTGATTAAATTTTGGAGACTTTCTTACATCATTACTCCATTGCTTTGGAGGGAAGTTAATGCTAACTTAGGGAACAGTGAAAAGGAACACTGCCTCAAGGACTAGGATATTAGAGGGTTTTAGGTTTTATTTTGTCTTTAGTGTGTTTTAGAAACAGTGATTCCTAAAGCAAAACAGCATCATCACATTTCTTCCTGGTGATCATTTTTATTTGGGGACTTTTCTGTTTATTGCTAGTGCACAATTTAAACTGTGAGGTTCAAAAGTAACAACTAATTAATTTCTGGCTCCTTCAGAGAACTGAACCTGCTTTGGGGCAGTTGTTTTAACCATTGGACTCCTGCAAAAGATAACTCTAGTAAGCCATGGGAATATTCTGAAAACGGATACAGCTGGTTTGTTTCTTTTTTGGTTTTGTTGTTTCTTCCAAGGATGCAGTTGTGTGCAGGGTAGCCAGAGTTGGGGCAAGCTGACAGTACCATCCTTTCACCTCTGCAGGACTTAAGAACTGGTGAGGGATGTAGAAGCTTTGCATGTGGTAGCAGCTGTGTGACAGGGGAAAGCTTTTGGGTTGAGCAGCAATGTACTTAAGCATCAGGAGTCAGCATATTGAGAATCTTGTGCATCAGCTTTTGGGATGCATAGTCTTTTTGTAGTCTGGCTCTGTTTTGCTCTCAGCCAGCAGGGTGCAGCACCTCCTTCATAATTTTTTTCAAAAATACCAGGCAGAGTGCAGGTCTGTGGATTGCAAAGTAAATGTCTGGGTATGGAACACATTCTAAGGGTGTGGAGAAAAGGTATAACCAAGGTAGGTCATATAATATACCATATGATACATATATTAAAACCAAAACTTGTCATTGGTAATAAAAATCTGTGCATTTTACTATATGTGGTGTTTTTCCCTTAGTTACTGATATAAACAAATACAGAAAACAAAAGATAAAAGTGCTCTTAAGTCATTGCACTCATATTGAGTTCTTGGAATCACCAGAGTTGGAGTAATTTAAGAAATTTTAGAATATTCCATGTATAGAATTACAAAATAGTATTTATTATTGACTCACCTATTGTATGTAGAACTGGTCAACTAGCTGAGAAAAAAAAAGGCTTCTTTGTAGACTGCAGAAATGAAAGCTGATGGGAGCGTGTTCTTCAGTCTTGGGAAACTAAAACTGATCCTGTTTGGATTAATATTTTGCTGCATGTATTTAGGAGCTGGTTTGAGTGGACGACAAGTACACAGGACACAAGCTGTCTTCAACCACACAGAAGACTATGTGCTGCTTCCAGATGAAAGGACCATAAGTCTCTGCTGCTGGGATTCAAGAACTGCTGAACGGAGAAATCTTCTTTCTCTCGGGCACAACAGCATTGTCCGTTGCATTGTCCATTCTCCCACCAATCCTGGCTTCATGACCTGCAGTGATGACTACAGGGCTAGGTTTTGGTACAGAAGGTCAACAACAGACTAAGGACAGCTTCATCAAACAGTTGATTATCCAGCTTCACTCTATCATCTTGTATTGATTGTACTGCCAACGGATGCCTAGATGAAAGCCGAGCTGTGTCTGTTTTTTACTTCTGTCAAATGTGGCAGAAAGAGAAAAATACTGAGATTAAGTTTTGCCCCATGCTAATTTTCTTATTAGTGTGTGTGGCATTAATTTTATAAGTCATCTCTAATTATACTCAAGGAGTGAGGGGGGAGAATAAAATGCTCCTTACAGGAAGGACTTCAGCTTGTTCTGTCTTTCTAAATCCCATGAGAGATAATGTGACTGTATCTTGCTCAAACTGGGCAGTATGAGCCAGTTTTGCTCTGCATTGTATCTGTGCAATCCCTCTGAAGTCTAAGAAAGGATTGCACAAGTAATAGCAGAACTTGGCAAATATTTTAATGAAGCCTTAATCTGCCTTCAGTTCTGATCATTCTTTGTATAGCTCAGTTTTGTATCTTTTAGTCCAGAGGTTTTTTGCTGGATTGTTTTGTTTTTTGTAATCGGCCAAGTGGACCTTCTATTCTGAGCCAGTCTTGTGCCATAAGAATTGGAAACTGGATTTTAAATTGTTCAGATGAATTCAAGAAATGGTGTTCTAGTTCTGGTATTAAAGCTCAGACTTGAAATCTCGTCTTCTTTTGAATTTATCTTAAAAAGTGGGACCTCAAAGTAAATTCATTGTATTTTTAAAGAGTATCCACGTTGCAACTCTAAAATGTGGTACTGCTGCAGCATGTGAAAGAATCATTTTGCCATAGAGACCTTGAATATCCTCTCAAAGACAAAAATCGTGCATATTAGTTTTTGTATATATGCCTCAGAAATGTCTCTTTGTTTCATTTTATTGAGAAATGTCCATTCAACATCTGTTTCACAGCACTTGAATTACATTTTTTTCTAGTTATTCAAAAACGCAGACTGACTCTTCTCCCTGTTATGGCTAATAGGCCAAGTTTCCCAGATATCACCCTGTTCAACAGAAGTAACTCATTAAGAAACTCTGTGCTTAAACTTCTGTAAGTTTGAAGAGTCACTACTTATTTTTGCAGACCGTTGCCTGTGCAAAGTTTTCACCATGTTCATTCAGGCATCCTTGTACAGTTCACTTGGGCTCCACCTGTGGGAGGCTTCCTTGAGACAAAACATCAGCACTTGCTTTCGTGAGGATTTTTTAATGTAAGATTGTTCTTACTGCTGGATCAGCTTTCCATTACCACTGATGAAGTGTCTTGTCAAGGGCTGATGAGGGTACAGGTTTTGTCTGTATTTAAATAAAGATTGCCTTTTAAAAAGTTGTTTAATATATAAAGAAGGAAATGTCTTAGTTTTTCTTTCTATCTAGCAAAGGAGAAATTATGGGAACATTGGAAGGCTGTGTCTTTGGGGACATGTTAAAGCTTGGTGAATTCTGCTGTGTTAATTGGAATCAGATACAACTTCAGATTTACAGGATAGAATGGAGGATGGTTCTGTAAAAGAGGTAGAGAATGAAATTTAATTTTCTCTTACATGCTACAGCTGTGCAAAATATTTCTTAGGCTCAGCAATCCTCTTCACTGCTCCTCTGCCTCCCTTCACGTTTCTGAAACTACTGGTGGCTTTTTTGGGTGGGGAAACAAGGAGAACCAGAGCACAGTGGGAAGGAAAAGGGAAGTCCTGACCCACAGTTATTAATGCATGCTGGACTTGCCTAGCAGCAGCACCCTCTGCCCTTCACCAGCTGCTGCACCTCTTGGAGCTACATCCCAGTGAGCTGCTCCACTAGAAGAGCCCTGTCATACTCCTGATTTATCCCGTCCTCAAGAAAGTCCCTGTCACCTGCCTAACAGTCTGTTGTACCTACCTGTCATGTAACCTACTCTGCCCTCTCCGAAAAAGCAGCTATCGTGGAAGCAGGCCCAGGGGATGCCACAGGTAATGCATTAGGAGTCAAGCCAACGTGGGAGCAACTTTGAAGACAAGTGGTAACTACAGTTCTCTGCCTTTTGGCCTTCAGCATTCCTTGGCAGTCACTGGGACATGGCTCAAGCAAAGTCTAAAAGGCCACTTCTGGGATCTGGCTTGTTTGTCACCCATTGAAACAGAGTTCAAACGTTCTACCTAATAGGGGGTACTGGTCTAGGATCAATACTTCCAATTTCCTGGACACAGAAGCAGTCTGTCCATTGGGGCTGCCATGTGAGACTGAATCCTGGGAAATACTGAAGTACAATAAAGGAAAAGTAGCTAAGATAATTGTAGTTCAGGTTAGGAAGTTCTTGGTGTGGCTGCCAGGGACCCTTCACGTGCTCAGCACAACTGCTCTGCTTGCAGCACAGGGCAGGAGCCTCAGCGTTGGTGTTGAAGCCTTGGTGCAGCCAGCAGGAGTCTGGCACGTTGTTCACCCCCAGGGATGGATATGTGAGGTCCTCACAAAGCCCCTTTCTAACAAAAATTGTGTTGGTGCCTTAAAGTCGGGACAACTTTGAAAGGCATGAAAAATGTTGGCTTTGAAATCCTGAATTGATAGGATTGTGGAGTTCTTCCTATCCAGCCTTGTGCAGCCCCTTGTGGCTGTAGTATTCTTGTAGTTGTTAAATTTCTAAAAGAGGAAATACAGGAACATGTAGCAAAACAGAAGGGTGAGACTGCTGGCTGCGGTTAATTGCGACAAGTTGGTGACAGAGAGATCAAGGAAAATTCCACTTGCAGTCAGAAGTTTTTCTCAATTCTTAGACATTAATAGAGCTTTTCTGTTTTGCATTCTGCTCTTTGGAGTCTTTCCTGTTGTCACAGGAGTTATTTGCCATGATCATCTTTTCTATGAATTCCTTAATGCTTTTAGGAATAGAGCTGTCAGATGTCTGTTCTTGAGACGTAGTTCCTAACCCACAGTGACTGTGCAGAGCTGAAGTCTCCTCGTCCTGCCGTAACTGCTGCTCAAAGCAACACTTCAGGTGAATGCCAACAATGGATAAAAACACAGGAATCGACAGAACTGCAAAGGTATGTCTGGGTTTTTTTTAGTACAACATATAAACAATTAAGAAAAAAGGTTCCTGGAGCAGGGTTTGGTGTTTGAACTCAGCAGGATGCCTGATGGTGTTGGCAGCGTTCAGTGTTCTCACCCCATGGACGAAGGGCTCCATATGAAGCTCACATACCTACTGCCTGTCTGCCCTTTTTCTTGTGACAAAACTATTAAGTGGAAGAAATGTCCTCTTGAGGAGGACTGTGAATAAAGTAGGATCCTCAAATAGCAAATACCTGTGAATAAACACCCTTGTGAAATAATAACTAAAACTTCAGAGTTAAACCTGTCTCACTGCTATCCTGTAGTAACACTTGAGACATGGTTCTATCATCACAGACTTTCAGTGACAGTCCAGGTGACCTGCTGCATTATAGATCATCTCCCTACCTTGCACACAAACCAGAATACATTTTTAAATACTACATTTGTTTATTTTCAAAGTCTGGAACTGGTTCATAAGGGTTTTTTACATTTATTTGTGTATTCATACTGCATCTAATACATTTTTTTATATATGTACACAGATAATGCTGCAGCTTTAAGTGTTAGAAAATGATGTCTTGATTCAAAATCAGTGCCTTGTTTGTCCTACTGTCTGCAAGTCTATTAAGCAGCATAATGGAATTATTCTTTTCATCCTGGATTATGATCTTAATGTTTACTGTAAATAAACTGCCTCCTGAAAAATTGGTAATACTATAATGGGGAAAAAGAGCTTAGTACTAGCACTAGGAGTTCTTTTTTTGCACTCACAATTTTCCAAAGAGGCATGTAAATATAAAAGAAGACTATTTTCATGCTAAGTCGTCAGAAATTGATGCAGAGCACCTTTCATTTCTATACAAAAGGAGAGTTTCTGTTTCTAGGTATAATACTTCCAGTTTTCTTACATGGATTGCCAATGGCTAAACAAATGTAATGGTAGCAACCTGATGTCCTGTTCTCTGAGATCTTTAGATACAGCCATAGCTCACCCAGTTAAATTCAGCTGAGTAACAACTGAAAAAGTCAACTTTATCTCTGCTATATAATTTGTGAACTGTTTACAAGGTCCCTACTACCCCTGCCATACTGTTTATTATAATATTTGAATGCTGTACTTAATACAAGAATACTAAGGATGCATTTTTTTCTACTGTCTGGACTTCTCAAAGTTCTATATGTCATCACTGTGCCCCAACTATTCCACCTTCACCAGGAAAACCATTTCTGAAAATGAATTCAGTATATGAGCACAGCCAGAGAAATGTTGCTTCTTCCCTGTTGCATACACGTGTGACAGCCTGCACAGGAAACCTTGCACCTCTTGATGCAATTTAAAACACAGTGAGCGTGACAGGCTGTGCTTGGGAAACAGTTCTGGTACCGTTTGACAACTTTGTGCTGTTGCCAAAGGAAAAATAGGTGTGTTTTTTAAACACACATTAAGTTGATCTAAAGTGCATATTTCCATCTTGTCCATAAACAACTGTGTGAAGAACAACCTGAGATGTGTTTCCGTGAGCTCCTCTGCAACTGCGGATTGTGCACCCTCAGCCCCCTGGCTCTAGGGTGCCTGCTGTCACCTCCCAGTCCCCATCTGAAACACCTGGGAGCAAATACCTGCTTCGAAATAGGATTTCCCAGAGCTAATAGATTGAGCAAGGAATTACTTAAATAGCCAAGAGGAAATACTAGAGAGAATGGTGAACTCTCCATCTCCCTGGTCCTCAGACAAAAAACTGGGGTCTGTTCTCAGGGATGCAATCAGGTGGAAGTGGACTCAATCCCCAGCTTTCCTGGGGAAGTCTTGAAGGTAAACCATGAGCAAAATGATCTTGACTCAGGGAACTTTCACCTGATTTAATTTATTGCCAGTTAACACAAACTTCAATCTCAGAGGTCTTTTCCAGCCTTGATAATTCTGTGATTCTGTGTTTCAAGTGATTGAGGAAGAATAAACCATAAGCAATTAAGCAAGCACTTGAGTAAACACCTTACCTCCCCTTCCTACTCTCAACTTGCCTTATTTTTGTGTGGGGTGTGCCCAGTCCATCCCAGTTCCTCCAGGGAGGCGATGGTGGCACAGGAGATTGGGCCTGGGGGGAGAACTCTCTGGGTGCTGCTCTAGGATTATTGCCTGTTTTCTTCCACTCTGTGTCTCTGTGCCTGGCATTGGACACAGTCCCTTTGGGGGGGTCCCTGCCCCAGTGTGGCTCTCCCACAGTCTGCAGAAGGTGTCCCTGCCCTGACACGGCAGGGATCCTGTCTGCAATGAATTCAGGAGAACATTTAATTGTATTTGAAAGTCGTTTTGTGGCCAGAAGTTGTATTTCTGTTTATTAGTTGCATTTCTGGATCGATTCAAGTGCTGGTAGCACCTGAAGAATTAATTCCAGGGTAATAAGCGAATGGCTGGTCTCCACCTACTGTGTGGAGTGTTCAAACTACTAACACTGCTGCTTGTCATATTTAAAAAATAATTAAGGAAAAACAAAAGATGAAAAGCAAAGCACCACAGGCATTCAAATGAGCTCCACACCAGGAACTCTTTCATATTTGGTCAACTGCATCAGCTGCTTGTCTGCTCCTAGTCCCGGCCCAGAGGTGCAGATTTTGTTGAGAAAGCATTTTCAATTCAGCATTTTCTATTCCAGATGCACAGCTTTTTTAGTTACACGATTGTGGGTTTGGGAGCGAGAGTCTAATTTCATCTCAAAGTTACCACGGAAAGAGGAAGGAAAAGGCCCGAGAAAAGGCAGCAGGCACAAAGGCAAAACCAGTAAAAGTTTGCAAACCCCAAGATACTCACACGGCTAAAGCTGTGAAACCTGCACATTTGCATAAACACAGCCTGGGCAGAGGTGTTGCTGAGCAAATTAGCAACTGTGAGCAATTTTCAATAACACTTATTTAATAATAGTAAAGATTTATTTATTTTTTATAATTAAAGAAACAAAGCCCTTAACTTGCAGCTGATGTTTAGCTCTCCCCGGGTTTGCTGCCTCTGAACAGTGAGATTATTTTGCAGACTTCTGTGGCCACAAAGGAGATTTGCTCAGCTTTCTAGAGACTTGAGCATGAAAATTTGAAAGAATATCAAACTCCTTTTAAGTAACAACAACAAAACCAGGAGTAAAAAATGAAACTGCAAAAAATGCTTCAAAATCCAGCCCTTCCTTTCTGGTTCATCCCCCCTTCCCCGTGTTGTCCTGTTAAGATGCAAGAGCAGACAAGGCATTTCCCCAGGGTCTCTGCGGGAGGGACATCTGTGTGTCCCACACCAGCCCCTCATTAGCACCAGCAGCTGCAGGCCAATTGTACCCTGCAGTTAATTGTGCTACCTAATTAGCTCCCTTCCTTCCCAATAGCTGCTCCCCTCTGGGGCTCCCAGTAAATGCAGCAGGGGCTGGAAGGAGGCTGGGCATTTGCTCTCCAGGCTTCCAGCCAGAGCCTGAGTGCTCCTGCCTCCTCCACCCAGCAGAACTTGAAGAGAAAGGGCTGGGGGAGAGCACACCCTCCTCCCCAGGTGATGGAGTAACAAGGAACTAGGAGACAACAAAATGAAGGTCACTGTAAGTACTCTATTATTTTATTTCTGTTGCAATTCACGTATTTGCTTCCCTTATTTAATTTGCAGTGCAGTGTCTGCTGTGTCTGCCAGGGCTGGTTTTGAAGTGTGCTGTTGATCTGGTTTGCACGTTGCTAATGGAGGCCACGGGCTTCATTCTGAAAAAAAAGCTTTATCAAAAACAGCAGCGTGGTTAGGAAAGGTAAGGGTTTGTACCATGTGTATTAGGCAAGAATATCCCTTCCTAAAAAGGTTTCCATGAGTGGCTCTGGCTGGCCCGTGCTTTCCTTATTTTCTTGGAAATAATGAGCTTAAATGATTAACATTTACATTATACGTTATCTCAGAAGAGTTTGTTTGTTTTACACCGATTACCAGACACTGGGTGATGCAGATGTCCTAACAACTCGAGTCTCTCTGATGAAGAAAATGTCGTGTAATTGCAATGAGTGACATGAGCCTGTGCACTCTAGGATAGCGATTGACCACATCCTGCAGTGTGTTCCTTGCTGGGAGAACAGAAGCTCAGAAGGGGGGGGCAGTGCCCGTTCTTAGGAAACGCTGCTCTGCGCTGGGAGGGGGGAACGAGTGGATGGATTAAATCCATTTTACAGGTTAATGTTTTTGCCCCGGCTGCCAGCCCAGCGCAGATGCCCAGCAGCAGCTTGCTTTGTGCTAAGCAGCGTTTCCTTGGCTGTGAAATGAACTGAATCTTTCAGGCTGAGCTTCCAGCTGAGACCCAGGGCAGGGTCTGGGCGGTCACCGGGTGCCCGGGGTTAGTGCCGGGGAAGGGGAGACCCGGAGCAGCCCCCCCGGGAGCAGCAGCGCATCCTGGGGTGAGGGCAGGGCAAAAAAAAACCCAAACACACACAACAGCCCTGCTTTTCCCGGGGAAAAGTGAATATTTCAGCTGAACGAAACTCGGGTCTTAAAAATGAATTGATGTGTTTTGGTTTGGGTGGGTTTTTAGGGGGCGGATAACTGCCCCAAATGAGGCAGCTGGAGGGAGCAGCAGCCTCTGGGAGCTGCGGGGCGGGTGCTGATTCCTGATGGGTCAGAGCCCTGAGCCTCTGGGTCACTGTCACTTGTCACTTGCCGGGTGGGCTGATGGATGCAGCGGGAACAGCATCACCCCGCAGCCCCCGCACACGACAAACCTGCAGTCCTCTCCTGGGAATTTCTTCCTGTTCCCTGGGCAGGCGGAGGCAGGAGAGCAAGGATCCTGCTTTAGCAAGTCTCTGAAGCATCCGCTGCTTAAAGGCAGGAGGAGAAAACTCGTGCTCATCGCAGCCTTCTGTGTGTTTAAAGCCACGCCTGGAAATAAACGCTGTGGTAAAATGTAATGAAGATACTTTTTGTTTGTTGTTTTTTTCTAAGTCTTGTAGTGAAGTAATTTGGAGCATATGGGCAAAAAAAAGTTTTGGATAGTAGGAGGAACCAAAACCCAGACGCCCAGATACTCGGTTTTTTAAATATCAGGAAATAGCAGTTTATTTTTCCTTGAACTTGGGCATAAGACCACACACACAAAAATGCTGTGAATGGGAATGAAATCCTGATCACACTGGAAACAGTGGGGGTTTCTGTTGGTTTTAACACAGCTAGAATTTGATTAACTGTGTTTGGGGAAAGTTAACAGAACTGGCCTGTGATTCCCACCCCAGCAGCTCTGGGAAGTGAAGCTGCACAATTTCTAAGTGGTTCTGCCTGAAGTTTAAAAAGTGGCTCTTCTTTATTTATCAAAAGTGCACTTCACCATTTAGAATTTAAAACCTGTTGATTAGCACCTGGTTCAACCCTCTAAAAATCCATTAACTCTTTGAAGAGGCAATAAAAGCACATCCTTACATCTATTCCTTGTTGAAGCTTGTACAAGAAGATCTGAAACTTTATGGCCAGAACACCTAACTTTTCAACATATTCAAACAAACAAACAAAAAATACAGTAGAAAGACCTTCTGCAAGTCACAGAAGGTGTTGCACATCAAGTGGACTGTGCAAACCCCAGGAAGGAAGGAAGGCATCTTCCATCTGCACGCATATGTGAGCACTTAAGGTAAATTCTTTTTTTTCCTGTGAATGTTGCCCATGAGAGCTCTCTCTACAATTAACTGAACTGGGCAAAACTTAAATCGACTCCACTTGGTCTACCAATTAAAAGGGAATTCTCTGGGAAGCATGTTCCCAGCTATTGAGGCAATGGAGAATGTTTATTTCTTCAGCTTTCTTAGGAGGTGAAGAGATTAACTGGAAACAGTTCTGTAAACATGTCAGAGGGTGTCATTGATGCATGAACAAAACTGTTTAGCAAACACAACCGGCTGCCTTTAGTTGTATCTTTTCCTTCTCAAACATGAAGTCCCAGTTTCCTGTAGTAAAAGTGCTTACAGATATTTTTTTTATCTGCAAAATGCAGCTGATAAAGATTTCTCTTCATCCACAAAAACTCCCATGATTAGTAAGTCTTTTTTTTCTTTAGATTATTTAAATAGGTCTTTTAAGAAGCAAATTTAATACAATATATTAATAATAATAGTTATCATTATTAGAAATGCTGTGAAGTACTCTAGTATCTGTGGATAATATGAAATAGTACATAGTAATGAACTGGAGTTTCCAAATACAAACTGTGTTGGAAGAGGGGAGTACAGGAATTATTTTGGCAGACATGCAGACAAGATCATCTTATCATTGTGAAGGGTTTTTCTATCAACATTTGCGTGTATTTTATGAGGGTGAGGGTTTTTTCTGTTGCATAGTACTATAGGCTGAGGAGGGGGATTTGGATTGGAGAGGGATCAGGAGGTCTTGGTAATAGTGGGGGGTTTTGCCTTTTCATAAATATTTATTGTTATATAGAGCACAGATGTCAGTCTGTGAGTACTCCCATTTTAAGGTTATAGAAGTTTTTATAGAATTGTATAATTACCAGCTTTACTGACTAGTAATTAAAATTTTCCATCTTTCCATTAATAAACATGAGTTGACAGCTTTCATGCTGAAGACTCCCAGGGGCTGTTAAGTTTTGCAGTGGAAGCCTTGCTGGATAAGAATCCAACTAGGAAGATGCAAAAAGTCTGATTTATCTTAACATTTGATCTACAGTCCCACAAAAGGAGATGAGGTCGGTCCAGCTACTTGAGAGCTTTTCTTCACACCTAAGTTAACTGAACGTGTGTCACCAGAGGTCTTACCCTGTAAATCCAGTCGGTATGTGAGTAATTTGCATTGCTCCAACGAGGTCATGGACTCTGCAGGGGGAGAACAGTGCCTCAGGAAGCTGTTACAGAGGATGCAACCTCTGTTCCCTAAGTCTGTGCTCTGTCATCATGCTGTTCAAATCTGCTCAGTGAGGGGAGAGGAGCAGCACTGTCTGCCAAGGTGCTTTCTCATGGGGCTTTTAAGGTGTTCTTTGTCTTAGGAGAATTTTTTCAGAGCTGCTGACAGGGAAGAAGCAACAAATGTCAAATAAGGGAAAGCACTTTGATCTCATCTGTGTTGCTTATTATTTATTACATGTTGGTTACTGTAAGGACATATTAATGGGATTGCATGAAATGACACAGAACTAGACACAGCAGGCCCTGGATGGCATGTTGTGGATAATAGTGTTGGACAGTCAGTTTCCTCTCCTCTGGTAGGAAAGAAACAGTGCAGATCCCACTGCCCCAAAGCCCAGCCAGGCAGTGAGGTCCCTGCAACCCTGGGAATGCAGTGCTTGTTTATGGTTAATGGCAGGTCAGAGATGCTTCTGCTTACATGAGAGAAAGGGGCTGCCACAGTGATTCCTCACATATGTCCTAGACAGCTGAAAGCACAGATAGTGCCTGATCTCTGACAAACAGCCCCATGCTAGATGAGCCAGAGCCTGTGCTACAATTACCTCACTCCACACAACTGGAGAGGGACTGGGTCAGCTTTAGCTGTCTCTGCTGTTGGATCAAACACTCACCTGCCATAAACCTCCCGTTAGAATGATGTTGCTGTGCACTTATGCTGTGCACTTAATGCTGGAACTGCAAGTGGATGGAAAAGATTTGTTCTCCAACTCTATAGTACTAACCATGTGTCCTGACACTTGGACTTTAATTTAGCACTGCCTTAGAGGGAAGAACCTTTACTTTTCTTTCTTCTTTTTTCCTTCTGCTGTCTGAGCTCCACTGTGTCCTGCAGAGGTCTGGCAGTATTTTGGTTCACTCATGTTCAATAGCCTGGAGCTTGGGGCCTTTCTCCATCACTTCTCTATTTATTTATTTTTTTTTTTGTTCCAGCCCTACAGATGGTATAAGACATGATCTATGAACAGATGTCTATTTGTGAGATGATTTGTTGGTCTTGTTAAGTCATGTTTCCTGGTGTCCTGCAACTATTTTTTTTTCAATATCCCCTGCTTGGCTTGCAATTGCAGTTATTTCAGCAGTTCCTGGGTATTTGTGTTTCCTACAAATGTGAGGCCACAAGCCATAGTTGAGCCCCACAAACTGGAGACCACTTTTCAGAATTTGAATCACTGTGTTCTGCTTTGAATTGGTATCTGGCTGTGGGTGACTGGCCCTGGGATGTTTGCACAGCTCCATTGGCAAAACCCAAGGAACGTGTGCTGGGCCTCAGGGAAGACACCTCTCTGTTGAAAAGGTTTTTTACTTTCACAGTTTAACTTAAATTTTTAATCTTTTAATTCCATGTGGGTGCCCCTGAATATACCCACATGACTTTGTCAAATGAAATGTTGATCAGTTGAACTTTGACAACCTTTTTGTGGAATAGCTTTGCTGCTGAGTGCATCTTAGCCCTGTTGCTTTCATTGACCTGGCTGTTCTCTTGCTTCACTCTTTTGGCAGCAAAGCAGACCCAGTGATGTTTAGGAAAAGAGATGAGAGAATAGTTGCAATTACTTGTCCTTCTAATACCTGCTGCAGCCAAGTTTTATTGCTGCTGAACTTCCTTCCCCCTGGTGGGAAGGGTACCTCCTCACTCCATGTTACTTAGGTTGTAGTCTACAATTATTTGCAGAAATTCTCACTCATGTACAGGCCAAACTCTGATCTAGTGGAAATCAGCATATTTACTCTAAAACAAGTTTTTAAATTAGACTTGTGTAGTTTAATACATTGATTAAAGAATTAGGCACAGTCGTGTGTTTATTGTGCTGTTCCCACAAGAGAGAATTAGCTGGGGAAATGTCAGCATTTAGATGCCTTTTAAAACCACACTGTGAACTAATTTTTTCCTGTTGTTTGTGTTGGTGCAACTGGGAAGGATGGTCTTGTTTTATAATGCACTAGACACGGGCTCAGTTCCTGAGTTCAGGCTTCCTGGCTCTGCCCCTGCTTCCTGCGTCTGCCTGGATAAGGCCCTTCACATCTTGTTTTGCAGAAGGGGGAGAGCATCCCTCTGTCCTGCCTCCCCAGCTCTGAAGAAGGGGGTCTGTCTTTCAGCAAATCTGTATGTTGAAAGCAAGGTCTAGAAGTGTTACTGATTAATATTAGACAAAGTGATTTTTTTTTTTGGTTTTGCAATTGCAACACCATGTGAAGCCCAAGTCTTCCCCGGGCTGGACTCTGCTGGGGTTCCTGGAGGCCTGACCTCTGCACAGGTGGTTCAGAGCACTTGGCATTGTCCAGAGGGAAAGCAGACTCCCATGGTTATGGCAAGATGACTGTTTTAACCAGGCTGGGGCATAAGGCAAATGGGGCTGTTGTGCATCCCTGGCAGCTGCTGATGTCCAAGCTCATCTGTCATGAAAGGGCCATTGTTCGTGGCTGCCCTGCCAAAGAGCTGTGCACTCTGACTTCCATCAGCTGAGCTGACAAATTGGTTTTCTCCTGCTGCAGTTTCAGGCCAGCTGTTGCTTTACAGCAAATGCTCTGGACAAAAATACAAGGCATCATGTTTCCTATTTGAGTGCTATCTCTTTGGACACTACTTGCACTTTCTGATAAGAAACTACTGCTGGCGCACAGCCAGTGTCCTGCTGTTGGGGAAGCAGTCAGTCTCATCCTAAAGCTGAAAGCAAATTGTATCTTCTACTGAAAACCCCTCTGTCCACAGCTCTGCCCCTTGCACAAATGCCTCAGGTGAACAGAGCTACCTGCTGCTACTATTTTTCATTCTTTTAACTGTCATCTTGTAACGAGTAAGCAAATACCCAATGTAAACATGCTAAAAATACAGTGTGGTGATTTACACACTCGGGAAATTTTCAGGCTGCACCTGAGACAGGCAGGGCCTCTCTGTGGGGAAGAAGCTGGGAAATACGAATATTTGGTGTATCTCAGATTGTCTGTGCTCTTAGGAAAGTCACTCTTCTTCTTTGATTTTCTCTTAAAAAAAACACAAACAAAAAACACTAAGAGCACTCTGAAGATGCTGACAGATATACTGAAGTACTCAGATACAGGTTATGTCTTTGTGTTGGGGATCTGGGCATGTTTCCCTGAAGATAAGCTCACAAATGGCACAGACCTGCCATGAAGACTCGCCATCCATCAGAGCTGTTTTCTTGGTGACACTGTATGCATCATTAGATTTATTTTTTTTCCCTTGAGCATTACTTATATGTCACACAAGTAATTAGCCTGGGATGCTCTGAGTAGGGAGCTTTCTAGTCTGGGGTAGACATGAACACAGGTAGCTGGAGTCTAGGTCTTCAGAAGGACTGCAGCCCACCACTGCCCTTCAGCACTGGTGTTATCACTGGGTGTTTATTAACCCCCTTAGTGCTGATGTTACTTGAGGTCTGTCTTCATGAGGCTATTGAAGGGGGGAGGAAATAAAGGAAAATAAGCAACTTTTTAAAATCAGATAAGAAACAGCCTTTCTCACGTGCAGCTGAAGCTCAGATAACTTGGATAGCAGGCAAGGAGGCACGAGTTTTATTTTTGGATGGTTGATGCATTTTCTTTGCAGCTTCTGTCAAAGAATTCACAGAATGCCAGTGGGGAAAATATCACCTATTTTTTTTTTGTACGGGGATGTTTGTAAAGTACAAGTAATGAACATTAACAATGTTGTGCAAGAGCCTTGGGGGGAGTGTAGCAGACAGGCTGCAAACAGTTAACTCTCTGAAACTAATGCTCTGAGAGATGCTGGGGTTTTTTTTTAATGTGTAAACCTGTGGACTTGAATGAAATGGAAATGAAGGTGGACATAAACATTGACCTGACAAGTAATGCTGATGTTGGTTGGTGTAACAGTGCGTCGGGGTGTGTTTTCTCTGCAGAACACCCTGGCCAAGGCGCTGTACGACAACAAGGCGGAGTGCTCGGATGAGCTGGCCTTCCGCAAGGGGGACATCCTGACTGTCCTGGACCAACACGTCATTGGCAGCGAGGGCTGGTGGAAATGTTCCCTGCATGGCAGGCAGGGCCTGGCCCCTGCAAACCGCCTGCAGCTCCTCACTGCCTGCCAGGCTCTCCCACTGCCGCCTCCTGCCCGCGGCGACTTGGCGGAGTCCCCAGCAGGCCAGCAAAACATCTACCAGGTGCCCTCCCTCCCCAAGCCTGCTGTGTCATCATCTACCTATGAGAAGATGGAAGGGTGGGTTAAATCTCCAGCGAGGGTCTGTACCCTGCCTGCCCCAGGAATGTACCAGGTACCAGCCTTGGCTGCACAGCTGCTCAGTGAAAGGACCCGAAGCTCAACAAACCAGGTACTAATATAAGCAGCCACAAAAGTAACAAATGTTATTGTTAAAACAATCATTACGAGTGGGAACATTGTAAAGGCTAATGGCCTTAGCATTTCAGGGGAATTTGCAGCAAAGCTGTTCAAATAAATGGTGTTTAGGAAATTCCCATCAATTCTGCTACAGTTTATAGCATTATGTGAGAAATGCTGCTCTGGGCACCAGATGAGAGTCTCTATACTCTGTAGTCCCTCACTTTTTTGACAGTTTAAAGCAGCTGTAAAATAGGGCAGGAAGTAAAGAGTATACCATTTGTTTGGAAAAAACTATAAATTATTTACAAACCTACCCCAAAGTTAAAATAACAAGACACAGAACTTTCTCCTCCAATAGTCTACAACGTGTGTCCATCCAGAGGTCTCTGGGCACATGTGAGGTCTTCGTATCCATCTGCACAGGAAGAGGATTCATAGCAATAAAAAAAAAAATCACCCTTTGTGTGATTGCTGCCTTTGGTCTAGTATCTATTTGCAGCATCTCAGCAAGCTCAGAGTGCTGCTGGTTCTCTCTTCTGCAGAAGGTTGTCACGCTGCTTGCACAAAGTAGTAGCACTTGCTTCAGATGTGCTGGAGGATATGGACTTTGGCTGTGTGGCCTGAATCAGTTTCTCTCCCAGTCTATTTCTTCTGCTGCTCAGACAGTGCTCAGGGTATATGGGATGAGAGCAGCCCCCAATTACAGAGGAGAATTGCAAACCCGACTTGCCAGGGTTTCATTATTGCTGCCTGGCCTCTTCTTTCTCCCTGCTCCTTGTGTTTGGCATTCAAATGAGACATGGAAGTGAAACGTAATTTGACTAAATCATAGAAGGCTTTGGAGGGGATATTGTCCATGGCAGGGACACCTTCCACTGGACCAGGTTGCATCAAGTGTCTTAACATAAAAAACTTGTGCTTTCTTCCCCAAAAAATGAAGGGGAAATCTTTTCTAATGAAAGGTAAACGGAGCTGGTGTGGAGGGAGTTCAAGTTTTTGTTCAGTCCCATGAGCTCTTTAGCCCTGGTTGGATCTTTAGAATGATTTTCATACATGGAATAGAAATGTTAATTTAAAAAGGAAAAAAATAAATAAATCAGCCCTGATCTATGCTTTTGGGCTGATTTAATGATAATTTGATTTATGGGGCTCAGTTGGCCACTTCTCCTCCTGCTGTGCCTAAAGGCAAATTATGGCAATGGAGATGCTGGTTCCTTCTGTGGGTGCATGGAAAACACAAACCCTGTGCATCTCTGGTGACTGAAACCTAATTTTCATCGCTGCAGCTGCACATCCAGCCTTTGTGAGCAGCTACCATAACTGCAAGCTCACTGAGTAATAGCTACAAAAATCCCTTTTGCGCTTGCTGTGATCTGATGTCTCCACATTCATAACCCCAAAGCAGGCAAATTAAACACAAGGTTGATAGAACTCTTCCATGTTGTGCCAGCAAATGGGGCAGAAAATGTCATCTGTTGTTCTTTAGCTAATGAATGGCCCAACAGAAGAGCTCTGTGGCTATTCCTGTCTCTGTCATTTTATGGGTTTATATACCTAAGCCTTTTTACTCTAATAGAGAAAGAAGAAAAAAAAAAACAGTCCTAGCCTGCTTTTATTATTTATTTATGATTTGCCTGAGCTGTCTCTTACCCAACGTCACAGCTGCTCCTACACCAACTGTACCCAGGCCTACACAGATGCACGGGAGGCTCAGGGTGAGCAGCCTGTGCGAGGGCAGAACCAACCACAGCACTCGGGCTGCCCCTGCTCATCCTGTGGGACAACTGGCAAAGTTCCTGGCATGCTCAGCTGTCCTCCCAGCAGCTGGGTAAAGCCACTTTAAGTCTTTGAGGGAGCTAATTGAAAGCAATAAAACAAAACAAAATCCCTCCCAAGCCTGTGTGCTTTCACACTGTAGAAAAGCCTCATCGTTTCTTTATTGCCTGATACACTGAGCACCTTCTTGCTTTACTGTGACTGGAAATATTTTAAAACATTTTGTTCTTGAAGTGGTAGTAAGATAGGATATTCAGTGAGTTTCCTTTTTGCTGTATACTGAGTAAGATCTGAAAACAAACATGGGCTAAGGATGCCTTTCTTGGTGCTGCTTATCTTTTACCCTTTCACCTAAGGGAGGTCTCTTCTGTGTCTGCAAGCCAGGTGGCTCATCCTGCAGCATGCTGAGGGGCTTTCTGGTCACTCCTCTTTCTTCAGATGAGAGCCAACAGCTTTGACAAAGCAAGCAGTTGTAAAGCTGGACTCTTGTTCCTCTAGCATGTTTCCCCTAAATTTAGTCACTGTAACACTCGCCTCCAATTTTAAAAAATGACTGTAGCACAGTGCTGTTTCTGTGGGTCAGCAGTTTACAGTATTCCTTTTAAAACTAGTTGTGTAGAGCCAGTCTGAACCCATGCTGAATAAACAAAACACTATGTTTTTAGTGTTGATTTGTTTTAGAAAGTCCCTTCCCAACATTGAGGTTCTGGCATCCAAACTAATTGCCCCACAGATCTGGTTATAACTTTGAAAATGATGTTTTAAGCAAACAGGAGAATTGGTCCATAAGTGACCTAAAGAATGTAATTCCCATCTCAGACTTCTGTGGTTATGGAGCTGTACAGGATATCAAGGTAACTGTGTTTACTGCTTCCAAATGAGGCAGTTGTTCATAACTACAGAATAAAGCATCTCAGCTTGCACCTTTTTGCTGCTCTTACTCCCACTGAATGTGGCTTGACCTAATGACTCTGTGAGACTGGAGAAGTAGAAATTCCCCCACTTTATTTTTTGCTGGTTCTGCTTTTGGGCAGTCTAAAGATTTAAGTGATAATTGAAGCTGGATTTTCTCCAAATCATCTCCCTCCCTTGGTTGGTAAAACAGATCATGTTTGATTTGTATGTGCCAATTCTTACCTGAAAAAAAACCAGAAATGCTGTCAAAGGAGAATTATGGGGAAAACATACCGTGCTTGCCTGTCAGGTCAGTTCTTGTCTATCACCATCAGTGAAAAGTGGAAAGGTTTTTAGTCACTTAAGAGTCATTACCCTAGTGGTGGCCTAGTCCATTAATTGAGTTTTCGGAGGTGTTCTGAGCTCACTGTTCACTGCAGCTTTCTCGTTATTGATTGTGTCTGGGTTTTTTTTTTCCCTAAAAGCACCTGCTTACCCTTCCGAGAGCGTCCCGGGCTTCAGTCCCAAACATCAGGAGTGAGGTGTATGATGTCCCCTCTGCCCAGCGCCGGGGGTCCCTGCTCGCACGGGTGAGTCCTGCCCCAGCCCCTCCTGTACCACCTCAGAATAGACCTTAAGGTAAACTCTAGCATTTCCCTGTTTGCTTTTTGTAAAACTTGGCAGAAAAACATGTATTTTAGGGAAGTTCAAAACCTAAAACAGTTCTCCTTTGAATTTGTTAGACATTTAGATAAATGTGTCTTAAATTTGGTGTGTTTCTGATGAACGCTTTAAGTTTTACTGTTACTGAATTCCAGAGCACAGGTGAACTCTCAGTATCAGAGTGTCAGCCTCTCTACCTTGGTTTGTCCACCAGGAAATGTGCTTTGTGTCATTTTATCAGGAAGATTTCAATGTTTACAGAAGTCACTTGTGCATATACAAAAAGGCACTAAATGTCACCCACACAACCCGTCTCCTGGGCAAGAAGATGCAAGAGATTAGGTCATGTAACCATGAAGCACCCAGGGTGTGGGTAACGTGTTGATTGTATCTACCACTGCACCATCCTGTTATATGATCTTGCTCTTGATACCATGCTTGGGGAGAGTGAATGGCACCACATTTCCTCTACATGTCACTGCAGCCTCTGCAGGTGAGCAGGATGGGACAGACAGCAGGCCCCAGAGCCATCCCATCACCTCCCACCAAAGGTGTGTGTGGGCCTGGTCTGTGGAGCCACAGAGCCTCCCCATGCACCTTATGCTCCCTGGCAGTGCAGGGTTGAGTTCACTCTAATTGATTGATTATCAAATTATCCACAAACTTCTCTTGCCCATTTTGTATGTGGGATGATTCTTGCTCAGATCCCAAGCCAGGTGTATAGGTGGCAGCTGCCTTGCACCACCCAGTGCCCTCCACCCTCCCAGAAGCTCTCCAGCAGGTTGAGTTTGACCCATGCTGTCCAAATAAAGACCTATGCAGTGTATGACCTTTAAGACCTGAAGTCTTCAATGGGCTCTAGAAACTACTGAAGTCAACCTTTTTTTTTGCCCAGAGTGGTGCCACTCCCCCCACCGCACGGAAGGGATCTGTGCTGCTCAGGTCCACTGAGCATTTCCAGGAAGAGCAGGAGCAGCTTTACAGCATCCTCTCCAGCCCAGAGAAAGCAGCAGGTGTTATCCAGGAAGACCAACCAGTGAGTAATGTAAGTAAGACTTTTTGGACACAAGAGAATAATCTTTCATTAGTGTGATGCTGGGCACATGTGCTGAACTTCCCCCAGGATGATTGCACAGGTAAGACCAGCACATCTTCAGCACAATACTTCGTCCTTCATGTTAAAGAGGCAAATAACAGGTGGCTCCTGGACAGTCAGGGTACCCACCAGGACTGGGGGTACCAGTGCATTTGCTTTTTAAACTGCAGGCAATAAGATCTCTTGCCTTAACTTCTTATGATAGAGTGAAAAGCAAATTCAGTTCACGTTCTTGAATGCAGTATTTATGCAGATAAAAACTAACTGTTCCCATTCCATGCAAGACTGTCCTGCACCTTTTCTGAGAGTGGAGCACACCTGGCTTTGGGGAGGGGTCAGGCTTCCAATCTCTTCCCTGCTGTTTGACAAGTACCATCCTTAAAGAAAGGACTGATCTGAAATTTTGTAATGAAGAAAATGCCTCGATGGACACTCTTTATTAGTTGAGTGTCAAACACTTCAGGTTTTCTGAATGGTTTTAGGATCCAAGAGAATTTTGACAGGCTCCTTAGCACACATGCTCAGGGCTGAGGTGTGGGATCTCAGGGCAGACCATCCCAGCACAGGAACTCTGGTTTTGTGGATTTAAGTAGAAGTGCTGTAGGTTCACAGCTGCCTCACAACTGGAGAAGCCAGTCTTGCATGGAGCCTGTT